CTATGTGACTTGGATATTGATGATGAGGAGGATACCGAAATTACTATCGGTTCTGCAGTAGTCGATGAAAAAGAAGTAGCTGCTGAAGCAATTGGTGAAATATTTGAAAACACACGATCACATTTTATTCCCTATGTAGAATCGACTCTTCAAGAGTTGATAAAACTTTCGAATCATCATTCAGAGAGTGTAAGAAAAGTGGTGGTTGGATCTTTATTTAGCTTTTTGTCCACATTTTATAGTATGTCAAACCCTACCAAATGGGAGCCTGGTTTACCTGCGGTACATTTTATGATTAAATTTGGTTTTAAACATTAATTAAATTGCAGTCTAATCATTTTTATCTTCCATTTAAAGAAAGTTCCTATCCATGAAAATGTGTATAATATGGCCAAAGCTGTCTTATCAACGATATTAACCATGTGGGAGGACGAAGAAAGCAAGTAAGGATCTATGAAATACTTGTTATGGTTGATAATATGATGAATTAATTGCTATTACCCAGCTCATTATGATTTTAATGTGATCATACAAAAATTATACTGATCACCAATTCTGATGATAGTTAAAAAATCGTTATAATGTACCTAACTATGTAATATTTCTCTTCTAAGAATTGTAGTAATTCAAATTTGTGCCGAGCTTGCCGATACCATCAAAATCTGTGGGCCCGCTATAATTGCCGATTGTAAGTGTTCTTTGTTATCGTTGTATGTGATGTCAAATATCTTATTTACCTTATTTTTTGAAACTCATAAGATATAAGGCCGATTGCAGAAAATATTCTTTTACTTTATCAGAAAAAAGCTGTGTGTCAGCAAGATAATGATGACGACGAAGGTCTGCTGGATGATGATGACGAAGCAGAATATGACTCGCTTCTTATAAATAATGCATCAGATCTTGTTGCAGCGATGGCTTTGATTCTTGGATACGATTTTGTTCCATATTTCAAAGAGTATATTAATTATATTACCAAATATTATGTATGTTCATCATCTAAGATTATATTGAGTGATATTGTATTTTACTTTAGTTTCACAATTTCAGTTTAATACTTTTTAGAAAAAAACAAAACCAACTTCTTTTTCATCGACTACTGCAGAACCGATAGTAATTTCGGTATCCTCCTCATCATCAATATCCAAGTCACATAG